TTAAACTACTAAAAAAAAGATGTATATTATGGAAATGCGTGCCCCACGAGTACCATATTTAAAAAGGCTATGAATTTTAGACGGATATGCAATGTGATTGTTACTGATCTGGCATCTCGTCTACAGTCACTCTCTCACAGACGTGCCGTCACCTCCCTCTGTCTTTTTCTACAAATACTTCCATGGTAACTGCTCCGATGAGCTACTTTCGCTGGTTCCCAGACTTCATGAATTTAAGCGTTCTACTAGGCTGGCATCACGGTCTCACCATTTCACTGTCGAAACTGTTAAATGTTCCTTCTGTTCTACTCCAATAGCTTCATGTCTCGCACCTCTCGTCTGTGGAATCCCCTTCCTATTACTTGTTTCCCTGATAGCTATAATCTCCAACTATTCAAATGTAATGTCAATCGACATCGCCAGATGCCCTGACCTATTCCCTGTCCTTCTCTTCATGTTTTCCACCATTATGCCTCTTTACTCTCGCTCCAAATCTGTAACCTCTTGGTGTCACTCGCCTTGCTTGGGACCGGGGAATGCTTAAACAAATGTGTCACTTTAGTCTTGCTAAAAATAAAGAACAGCTTTTAAATCGATTAGTGACCTGTTATGGGAAATTAATCCTGAAAGCGATCTCATGTCAGACTACCGACAAGTGGAACTGATTTTTTTTCCCGTGCATCGTTTTTATTGGTTCCATGTCAGGTCCAAGGATATTTATCCGTGTTTGTATAGACGGATGGTGCAATACTTATCCCTGCGGAAAATGGTGATGATCCGATCGAGTTCAAATTTCAGTCGATTGTGTTTCGTTCATTTCAAGCTAATTTCCTTGGAAATGGTATAAACCCATCTTCTCCCAGCTATCGATTAAATAACACGGGCGGCTGGTCTCATTTGCCTTGGTTGGTAGCCAGTCTAAGGGAAGGAAAACTTCGCATTTAAACAAATGGAGAAATGTTCGGAGACCTCATGGAACAATGAGCATTATTTTTCTGTTGTCTGTTCTTCCAAAATTGTGGCTGGTTTGAGGTACAAATATCTAGGATGGGTGACCCAACAAGCAATTTCTAAACTGAACAGTTGACGTTTCATAAGTTGTATTCGACAGGGAAATTCATTTTGGATATATATATATATATATATATATATATATATATATATATATATATATATATATATCAATGCGAATGTCAGTGTGTCAGTGTTAAAGGGACACAACTCTCTAACTTTCAATAGCTCATGGTACAGGAATTTTGGATTCCCAAGTTTTCATTACTGCGATTTTTTTCGGCAATTTTTACATGATTTTGTACGATACCAATTTTTATAACTTTGAAATAAATTTGAGAATAAGTGAAATTAATTGCGAAATCCAGCGAAAGTCATCCATGAAATAAAAATAATTGTTTATACAGAAAGTAAGGACCTACGCACATCAAATTGTCTTTAAATTAAGTCGTAGCAGAAGAATTAATTTTAAAAGGTAAGCTTAATTATTAATGCAATACATAAATGGAGCGATCAATTTTGAGTTCTGTAGTTTATTGTTGCCTATCATATACGACAGATGTATGCCTATCATATACGACAGATGTATGCCTCGCAAAAAGAAATCTCCCTTAACATAGGAACAGATTGCAATCAAAAGAGCCAAGGCTACAGCGAAGAAAAGAAAGTCCTGTAAAAATGAAGACCCAGATCAAACGGCAGCCAGGAGAGCTTCCAATGTTGAGAATATGCAAAGATTTAGGGACTCTCAAACCCCTGAAGAAGCCGAAGGCCCAATCAAGAACCCTCCAGAAGCTAGCTTAAACGCCTCTCAATAGGGCGGCTTTAAGCTAGTATATATATATATATATATATATATATATATATATATATATATATATATATATATATATTATATATATATATATATATCCTGTACACTTGCCGGTGTTAAAATATTGTTCGATGTATAATAGAGCTATAATTTATATTAATATTGAATATATATTTTTTTCTTCACCGGGTGCACAACTCTGTGTACAATGCAAAATGTCATCCCAGTTCTTTCTTTCATTCTTTCCTTCTTTCTTTCTTTCTTTACAGTTTTCTTTCTTTCCTTTTTTTCTTTCTTTCTCTTCAATTCTTTCTTTCTTTCTTTTCAGTACTTTCTTCTTTCTTTCTTTCAACTTTTTTTTTTTTCTTTTATTTCTTTCTCAGTTTTAATTACTTTCTTTGACGTTTTCTTTCTTTCTCTTTTCCCTTCTTTCTTTCTTTCTTTCCAGTTCTTTCTTTCTTATTCTTTCTTTCTTTCATTCATTCTTTCTTTTTTTTCTTTTCAGTTCTTTCTTTCTTTCAACTTTTTTTCTTTCTCTTCTTTCTATTCCTTCTCTCTTTGACGTTTTCTTTTTTTTTTTTTCCTTCTTTTTCTTTCTCTTCTCTCTCGTTCATTTTTTTCATCCTTTATCTTCTACATTTCGTTCTTTCTTCCTTTCTCACTGTTATTCTTTAATTCCTTCTCTCTCTCTTTCTCTCTTCACTAACCTCCTATTCCCCAGCAACTGCGAAAAACCCTCCGAGTTACAATTAACCATTTACCATTTGTCATCCCCCATAACATAAAGTCGCAAAATGATTAGCGTGTCACTAATCCTTGTTTATGATATCCGTCATCATTAAACGCTACCTTTGTATGGCCTTGAGCCAAACTAGGCTTATCCTAATAATATCAAATCGTGACCTATTGAAGCATTTTTTATTAACCTAATCTAGCAAACAATTCTTAAACGTTTCAAACTTTAATATTATAATGATATATCAGGATAATGGCCGATGGGTGGATATCTACTTTGGATACGCTTGTGAAGGGGGCACGATTTACGTACACGAATCTCATTATAAAAGCCTTGTGTCAGACTCATTAAAATCAGTTTAATACTTTTGATCGTTCCGTTTAGTTTTTCTTAATAATTCCCTTCCATTTTTTCTCCCTCTCTTTCTCTTCCACTTTCTCTTTCCCTCTTTTTTCCCTCTATTTCTCGCTTTTTCCCTCTATTTCACTTCTTCTCTCTCTCTCTTTCACTCTTACTCTCTCTCTCTCTCTTTTCTCTCTTCCGCTTTTTTCTATTCTCTCTTTCATTTTTAGCTCTCTTTCTCTCTCTTTCTATTCTTCTCTGTTTTCTTCCTTCCCTGTCTTACTTTATTTCTCTTTCATCCGCGATTTCCAGCTTTCTTTTAATCTTTCTTTCGTTCTCTTTCTATTCGCTTCTCTCTCTTTCTTTCTTTCTCTCTATTCTTCTCTGTGTTCTTCTTATTTCTCTATTTCTCTTTTTCATTCATTTTTCTTTTTTTTCATTTTTTTTTCCTTGTTTTTTCTTTCTTTCTTTTTTTTCTTTATTTATTTGTTTTTTCTCATTTTCTTTTCTTTCTTTCTTTTATTTATTTCTTTCTGTATTTCTTTCTTTTCTCTTTTTTCTTTCTTTCTTTTCCCTTTCTTTCTTTCTTCTTTATTACCTTTTCTTTCTTTTTTTCTTTCTCTCTTTTTTCTTTTTTTTTCTTTCTTTCTTTTTTTCTCTTTTTTTTTCTTTTCTGTTTCATTCTTTCTCTTTTTCTTTCACTCTTTATTTCTTTCATTCTTTCTCTTTTCTCTCTTTCTTTTTCTTTTGTTTCTTTCTTTCTTTCCTCTTTTCTTTTCTCGTTCTTTCTTTCTTTTTCTCGTTCTTTCTTTCTTTCTCTGTTTCATTCTTTCTCTCTTTCTTTCTTTCTTTCTTTCTTTCTTTCTCTGTTTCATTCTTTCTCTCTTTCTATCTTTCTTTCTTTCTTTCTTTCTTTCACTCTTTCTTTTTCTCGTTCTTTCTTTCTTTTTCTCGTTCTTTCTTTCTTTCTCTGTTTCATTCTTTCTCTCTTTCTTTCTTTCTTTCTTTTCTTTCTTTCTCTGTTTCTTCTTTCTTCTTTCTTTTTTTTTTTTTTCTTTCTTTCTCTGTTTCATTCTTTCTCTCTTTCTATCTTTCTTTCTTTCTTTCTTTCTTTCTTTCTTTCTTTCTTTTCTTTTTTCGTTCTTTCTTTCTTTTTCTCGTTCTTTCTTTCTTTCTCTGTTTCATTCTTTCTCTCTTTCTTTCTTTCTTTCTTTCTTTCTCTGTTTCATTCTTTCTCTCTTTCTTTCTTTCTTTCTTTCTCTGTTTCATTCTTTCTCTCTTTCTATCTTTCTTTCTTTCTTTCTTTCTTTCTTTCTTTCACTCTTTCTTTTTCTCGTTCTTTCTTTCTTTTTCTCGTTCTTTCTTTCTTTCTTTCTGTTTCTTTCTTTCTCTCTTTTTTCTTTCTTTTCTTTCTCTGTTTCTTCTTTTTCTCTTTCTTTCTTTCTTTCTTTCTTTCTCTGTTTCATTCTTTCTCTCTTTCTTTCTTTCTTTCTCTGTTTCTTTCTGTTTCATTCTTTCTCTCTTTCTTTCTTTCTTTCTTTCTCTGTTTCATTCTTTCTCTCTTTCTATCTTTCTTTCTTTCTTTCTTTCTTTCACTCTTTCTTTTTCTCGTTCTTTCTTTCTTTTTCTCGTTCTTTCTTTCTTTCTCTGTTTCATTCTTTCTCTCTTTCTTTCTTTCTTTCTTTCTCTGTTTCATTCTTTCTCTCTTTCTTTCTTTCTTTCTTTCTTTCTTTCTTTCACTTTCTTTTTTCTTCTTTCTTTTCTTTTCTCGTTCTTTCTTTCTTTCTCTGTTTCATTTTCTTTCTTTCTTTCTTTCTCTTTCTTTCTTTCTTTCTCTGTTTCATTCTTTCTCTCTTTCTTTTTCTTTCTTTCTTTTTCACTCTTTCTTTTTCTCGTTCTTTCTTTCTTTTTCTCGTTCTTTCTTTCTTTCTCTGTTTCATTCTTACTCTCTTTCTTTCTTTCTTTCTTTCTTTCTTTCTTTCTTTCTTTGTTTCATTCTTTCTCTCTTTCTATCTTTCTTTCTTTCTTTCTTTCTTATCTCCGTTTTTTTTATCTTTCTCTTTCTCTCTTCTCTTTCTATCCAAAAGCACCGATTAGGCTCTTTTTTGAATTTCGTCACCTGAGATACGACAGGTCTAAGAAAAAGAATTAGCCAACTCTTTACTATCCTCACTCCACCCCCCACCTTCATTCTACTGACCACCCCAAATCTTCTGCCCTTCCCTGGGTCCCGCGATGATTGATTAGGCAAAAGTTATCAGGTTAAAAAAGGGACTCAAAAAGATGTGAGTACTAAAAAAAATAGGGGGCTTGATGAAAGAGTTATTTAGGAGGCATAGAGGAGAGAAAAAGGCTCAGGAGTCTTGACAAGTAAACGTCGGATTGGAATCTGCTTTAATCTAATCTTACTCGCAATCCCTGCCCGACCCCGGAAGAAGATACTTTCATTAGGTCTCAACAGCCGACAATTGATGAATTTATTTGGAATTACTCTTCCATATGCGCCCATCCAGAACTAACAACCAGGAAGACATTATTGTCTTTTATCAGAAGTTGTATACTAGTTGAATGGAAAATATTGGTTTTATTTAAGCGGGAGGATGTCTTTTTCGACAGTTTTCTAAGACAGCTTCTTCTTTTTTTTCTCTTCGATTGGTTCATTTAATTACTGTTTTCTCTCACTTCTGATCAACAAGGCCACTTCTTTCTGTTCGATTTTAAACTTCTGATAATATATCGAAACGGACCATGAATTTATTTTTCATATTTTTGTTTACGCCGGAGTAATGGATAGCGGCTCGGATTAAAGAATCGGAGAACCGAGTTCGAATTCCGGTCGAATCCAATACATTTACTTATGTGCTAATGCTCTTGTATGAATCCTCTTCTTCTCCTATCCCCCCCCCAGATATAGATAAAATAGCAGGGCAGACTGGATTCAATAGCTTTGGATGGCAACTGTTCTGCCGCGGAAAGAAATGGCAACCTACTACGCGAAAAATCTGCCTCGTCGATCATGTATCTTTCGATACATGATCGTCATGCGTGTATCACGCATGCTACATAACTGACTGAATTTATTGAGATCAGAATTTTTAAGGGCTAATTCCCCACCCCCACAGTGTGGACGCTAAATACGCACTCTTTCTATACTAATAAATCAATCAATAAATATTCAATATTACTAAATTACCACCTCATGTAACAAAAAATAAAATTCCCTACACATCAACACTGTTATAAATATGGGTTGACATTGAAAGCCACTACTTTTTGGCTTTTAAGAATAGTTTTGTAATCAAAGGTTCAACACTCAGTGTTTTCTTCTATCTATCTGAATAAATGCGAAATTGGAGCTTTTCTCCCAAGAATTCTGAGGTTAAAAGGTCCCAACGCTACTTTATTGTAATTTACATACGGAATTTACTACCCACTGAAACAAGGTCAGTTTTTAAGGTGGGGAGCACGAGCACGTACACCCGGGCTAGGAACTAAAATTCCCGAGCCCCCGCAACTGTCGGTTGTGCTGGCCTCCGTGTGAACACCGATCACCCTCTCTGGTGCATGAGAGGGTGCGTGCTTGGGCAGCTGTCCCCCAGGGCCGGCACTTCTCAGTATAATTTTCGTCACTGGCGACTCTTTCCTTTGACGGTGTCTCCCGTCAGTGGACTCTGCCCAAGGACAGAGACATAACTGAGAGATGATAATTCATTACAGACTAATTTATAGTAATTTGTATTTAATCAAACCCCTCACGAGGTCATGTTGTGACACAAGGTCGACTTAACGTGGGGAACCCGACGCGTGCACCCGGGCAAGGAACAAAAATTCCCCGATCCCCCGCAACCGTCGATTGCGCTGGCCTCGGTCCGTGCACCGATCCCTCCCTCTGGTGCAATGGGAGGGCGCGGCCTCGGGCAGCTGTTCCCCAGGGCCGGCACCTCTCAGTATAATTTTCCTCAGTTGCGATTTTGACCTTTGACGGAGTCACCTCTGAGCGCACTCTATCCAAGGACAGAGACGTTTACAGACTAATTTATAGTAATTTGCATGCTAAAAGCTCAATATCTGACTTATATCTACTTCTAGGCGATATCACCTTTCAGGTTTAACTAATTTGCATATTGATTTTAAAAAAGGTATATTCAATTAATTAATTATCCTTCATTAATGTTCTTTTATTCGAGGATTGTTTTGATTTTCATATCAGAAATAGTTTTGTTTAGGAATATTGTCTGATATAGTGCAGTAAAATGTTTGCATTTTACTGTAACTTTCCTTAACTATAACAAGCCTGCCCCCCACACACACCTGACCAATTACTTTCTTCTGTTTTTACAGTCATATTCTTTGAACAAATACATTGAACGTCCACAACACCTTCAACGTTTCATAAACAGTGAATATTAATCCTATAGAAAAACCACTAAATTTTCCTAGAAAAAAGATCAGATGGCGAGCGGTGGAAGCCTGCTAGTATTAATATAAAAACAATTTTAGCAGACACTTCTTTATGTGTTATGTCTCTCCACAACTTCCTGTCCTTTGTAGTTCTTAATAAAATTTGTGTTTCTGTTATTTCTCCTAAATCCTGTTCTACTATGCACAAGTTCTCTAAGTATGCTGGGCACTGTTTTGCTCGTTGTTTTCCTCTTGCTTCCGATCTGTCCTGTGAGTATTTGATTTTCTAAGCACTCTTTCCTCATTATGTGCCCTAGAAACTTCAACTTTTAATTGCTGATGTTAAATATAGGTTCCTTTTAAATCTCTCTAAAACCTCATTTTTCCTCAAATGTTCGGTGCATGGCATTCTCAGCTTCCTTCTGTAGAGCCACATTTATGTTGCTTCAAGTCTTTTCTTCATCTTTGAGGAGATTGTCCAGCCTTCACTTCCATACAGGAGGACAGATATCACGTAACAGTTCAGTGCTATTTTCCTTGTTTCTAGCGAAGTTTTTAGATTTCTTCGCACTCTGCTTAGCTTTTGAAAGACATCTTTGGCTGCTATCCTAATACGCTTTTGGATTTCAGTGGCACACTTTATGTCACCAGATATTTAAATTTCCTCACTTGTTTGAATGGGGTCTCTCCGAATTGTAATTCGCACTTCAAGCTCATCCTTTTGCTATCAACCATGAAGTCTGTCTCCTTGCAGTTAATATTTCCTTTTTCTTCTTGTTTTCATTTCATTTCCTTCTGCAGTTTTGTTAGTTTTCATTTTAATAGAAATTTATGCTTATTTACAAACATTTACAGTCTGCTAGCTTAGAACATCACAAACTTTTAGCAATGAAAATGTTCTCCCATTGTAATAAGATTTTTGATTTTATAGGCCAGTAGATGTCTGTTTCACAGTTTATGAATAAACAAAGATGACTCAAACATGCGTTTAAACTAAAATAACGTTTCTAATAAATAATGTCCGATTGGAAAAAACAATAATATTTATACATACATATATACGTTCATATATATATATATATATATATATTAGCAGTAGAGCCCGGCGTTGCCCGGGGATGTAACAGTAAGAGATAAATCAAGTATCGACCATCATAAAGTCTGCAAAATAAAATTGACAAAGATAAATGTGTAAGTTTGACGGACACCCATGTCTTAATTAGTTTTTTTTTGTTTTGTTTTGTTTTTTTTTTGTATTTTGTTTTTTACGAATTGGTCAAACCCAAACTCAAACAAATCATTGTTTTCAATCGTTATGAGTCTACCGATTGAATAGAATTTTATTATAAAAAATTGTCTTGTAAATGGAATTTTTAAAGCATTGTGAATGTAAAAATAAAGAAAAAAGTGTGCAAGACAATAAGAAACACTACCTGCCAAAAAAAAAGTAAAATTTTGTTGAAATCAGTTGAAAAATGTAGGAAATCCGATCCCATATATAAACGAAAACACACTCACAAACAACCTGGGTTTTATAATAATTATAACTCGATGAGTTGTCCCCTTTTCATTCTCGCGATTCCTCTTAATCGTGTTTTCAAATTGATTTCATGCAAAAACAATTGTGTTTTTCCAATTTGGGGCACTGTCAGAACCACCGCAAGGTAATATTACGTAGTCCTGTGAAGTTTTGTTGAAATCGGTTGAAAAATGTAGGAAATCCGATCCAATATATAAACGAACACACACACATACACGCACACACACACACACACACACAATCTCCGTTTTATAATAAGTAAGATATATATATATATATATATATATATATATATTGATGCACGTTTCATTACATACTATGGATAAGTTTTGCCTATTTTATGCAAATTCCTTTCATATTGTCTGATGAGCTTAATAACATTATCATTGAAAGACGAAAGAAAATCACCATATTGATAGATGTTTTTTTTTAATCCTACCTAAGCTTTCGGCTTACATAAGCCATCATCAAAGATGACAATAACATTACAGTATATTAAACTATACACGGACATGTCAATAATGATAGTCTGTTTTTGTTTGCATGGAAGATTTCCAAGCAACAACAAACTCGTGCATACGAGACGCTGGAATAGATAGAATTAAAAAACATGTATCAATATGGTGATTTTCTTTCGTCTTTCAATGATAATGTTATTAAGCTTATCAAACGATATGAAAGGAGTTTGCATAAAATAAATAGACAAAACTTGTCTATATTATTTAATGAAACATCCATCAACGAAAAAATGCTGTCTAAATACACACAATTTAAATATAAAAAAAAAAAAATATATATATATGATAAAAATATACTTTTAATATATGTTATATTTATTGGTTAAAAAATTATTAATATCAGGGATACATGGCATATAAATCTAAAAGTGGTGATTGAACCAAAAGGTGACAGTATGTTTCATGCTTGAAAGCAATCGCCACGCCATCATCAGGATTGTATTTAAGCATGAAACAGACTGTCACCACTGTGTGTTAATTTCAATGTCCACTTATATATATATATATATATATATATATATATATATATAAAATATTTATATTTAGTAGATACCCATTTTTGATACCCATATTTGTAGACGCTCTGTTTTTATTTTTAAATAGTATATTCATTATAGTCTACAGGTCTAAATATTCGA